ACTGTCAACCTTAGGACTCTTAGGTGGCTTAGGACTCTTAGCCATCTGAGAGATGCAATTAAAAACAACAATGAGACATCTCATCTCAGCGTTAATAGAAAAATTATAAAAAAAAGAAAACCACAAATGGTGGTAAAAGTATGGAGAGACTGGGACCCTCTTACACTGTGGGAAATGGTATGGTGCTTCCTCAAAACGTTGGAAATAGAAATACCATGTTGTTGTTGTTAAGTACCACTGTGTCAATACTGTCTCATAGTGATACTGTATAGGGTTTCCAAGGAGCAGCTTGTGGGTTTATACCACCAAACTTGTGGTTCTCCGTCCACTGCTGATCCTATAGTAACACACCAGGAATCCCTGTGCTTGGTATATATTCTCAAGAAATAAGAGCAAGACATGAATAGATATATGAACACCCATGTTTATTGTATAGCACTATAGGATAAACACTCGCTAGCAAGGTCAGTTTGAACTACAAGGTCAGTGGTTCATATTCTCCAGTGGCTCCTCAGAAACTCTATACAGGGTCGCTAAGAGTAGTAAACAACTTGACAGAACTTAACAACAACAGCAACATGATGATCACAGCACTATTTACAATAGCAAAAAGATGGAGACAGCCTAAATGCCCATCAATGGAAGAATGAATTAAAAAACCTTTGGTAAATGCACACAATGCAACACTTGCAACAGTGAAGGACAATGAAGATCTGCAAAACAAATGTAGAGGACACATTGCTGAGTGAAACTAATCATCACAAAAGTACAAATATTGCATGATACTGCTGCTGTAAAAAGTCAAGAAAATATTTTCATGCTAAAATAAACATTCTATGTTAGTTAACAGGGGTGGGATGGAAGGGAGAGTAATTCACTGGCTAGAGGGCAGACATGCTAACTTGGGTGATGGGAAGGGCAATAAGCAACAAGAGGAAAGTTAACAGAGAGTGCTGAAGGCAGAGGAAGACACAAAGAGGAGTCCAAGAGTTAAAGGGAATACAGGCAAACACTGTTACATACATAATCCTGCAATAACTGATCTATGGGTGGATAAAGGAGCTCTGGTAGCATGTGGTTATGAGTCAGGCTGCTAAACTCAAGGTGAGTAGTTTGAAACTACCTGCTGTTCTGTGGAGAAAGATAAGGCTTTGTGCTTTTGTAAAGATTTACAGCCTCAGAAACCCTATGCAGGATCTCTGAGTCAGAACATACTCCACAGCACACCACCACCACCTGGATACATGGATAGATACATAGGACGAATAGGTGTTAAGTTTTAATAGAGGATATAGGTACATGGGTATCCACCTTTGTTGCAAGCATTTCCAGAAATGTGGTGGAGCATGCAGGGGGCAAATTTAAGAAAACTTCTTAGACATTACCAAACACTTTACAGGAAAGAGTTGTTGGGCCTGAGGACTCGGGGGACAGAATGGTCGTTTGGCATAACAGGGTACATAAGGGCAATGTTCTACATCCTACTTTTGTAAATAGTGGTTGGGATCTTCTTGCTAGTCAGGAAAAACCTGGAGGAATCTGAAACTGTTGTCCCTGGCCACCCTTCAGGTATGAAATTGAACTCACCCTGGTGGCTCAATTTCTTATTGGTATATAAGAGGGATAACACTAAGGAGGTAGGCGCTCCATGGAATAGTTAACCATTCAAGACAAAAAGGGCAGCATTTACCTAAGAACACAATTCAGAAGGGTTGGAAAAGAAGGTGAAATAGAAACAAGAATCACAGAAGTGGGAGAACTGGTGCTATATTAAGGAGATTGCAGTCATTGAAACACAACCAAGTACGCATTTTGTTGAATGTAAAACTACGATCTGCTCTGTAAAACTTCACTCAATGAACAATAAAAAGCATTTTTAAATACTATGCTATTTATAAACGCTGATTTTAGAAAATTATATGATTTAATTCCCCATTATTGAAGTTTTGGTTGACATTGATCATTGTTTTATGCTTGTTTATAATTATATCTCATTTTTCTTATAATTTTTGTCATATTGTTGGGGTTTTTTGTTGTTGTTAAGTACCATCAAGTCAGTTCTGACTTATTCTTATTAATCTATCATGGTCTTAATATTAATAAATATTAAATCATTTTATTTTTATTTAAGATATTAATGCCTTTCATGAGTCAGTACTGACTTGACAGCATTTAACAACAACATGGCATGGTTTGGACTCCAAGTGTGGCATCATGGGATAAGCATTGGACTGCTAACCACAAGGTCAGCACATCAAACCCACCCGTCGCTCCTTGGAAACTGCATTCAGGGTTGCTATGAGGCGGAACAGACTCGATGGCACACAACAACAACAACAATGGCATGTTTTGGAGTCTCTGTGTGGTCCAAACCCCTGGCTGATAACAAAAGATTAGAGATTTGAGACTGTCTTGGGGAAAAAATGAAATTATGAATTGAAATTATGAAATTATGATGAATTAATGAAAATCCTATAAATCACATTTCTACCTGACACATGTGGGGCAGACATGAATGGGAAACTACTCAACAGCACCGGTATAACAAATTTTATAAAGGTTTTTGAAGTTTCTTTTAAGTTTTGTCATTTTTCTGGTATAGAGAAACACTTAATTTTCATGTGTTCATATCCACTTGTCTTTTCTCTTGGTGATTTTAGTCAATTTCTGCAAAATTTAGAGGTACAATCCTATAAGATATTTAAAAGTTTTTATTATTTTCTCTTTAATATATTTTATTACAGTTTTATTACTTGATTCATTTGGAATTTAGCAAAGGCTTTTACTACAGAACTGACTTAATGGTTTCCCAGTGGGACCCTAGAGCTAAGGATGCATATACATATAACCCTGAGGGACCTGCCACACTCAAGGCCAAAGATCTGCGGGAGGTTGTAACACACCTACTCCTGTGCCTAAAGGAGAAAATAGAGGCCACTCTTAGTGAAGAGGACATCAGACACAAAGCACCCTGGTAAGATTCTTCTGTGAATTATCAGAGATTAAAAGAAAAGTGATCATTATTGTTGGAGGATGAAGAGAATCAATATAGGTAACACAGTTAGAATGGTGCCTAAACATAGGAAGCACTCAATAATGCCTTCTATATAATTGTCCTCACCTGGGCTGTTGTACTAGCCTTCTAACTGGTTCCTCCTCTCCTTCTCTCACCTTTATGCACCTACATTTTGCCTCCAGTTATTATATATATTGTTATTAAGTGAGTCAGTTCCAACCCATAGCGACCCTCTATAGGGTTTCCAAGGAGCAGCTGGTGAGCTTGAACCACTGACCTCGCAGTTCAAACCAACTTTGCGGTCCAGCACATTAACCCAAAGCACCATACTAGGACACACACATCTGGAGTCCTAGTGTGGTGCTGTAATATGAGCACTGGACTGCTAATCACAAGGTCAGTGGCTCAAACCCACCAGTCCCTCTTTGGAAACCCTATACAGAGTCTCTGTGAATCAGAATTTACTCAATGGCACTTAACCACAATGACAATATATACATAAGGGTTGTGGTGGTTATATGCTGTGGAGTTGCTTCTGACTCCTAGAAACCCTGTGTAGGGTTTCTAAAGCTGTAAATCTTTACAGGAGCAGAAAGCCTTATCATTCTCCTACAGAACAGCTGGTAATTTCAAACTTCTGACCTTGAAGAAGTTAGCAGCCTGACTCATAACCACTACACTACCAGAGCTCTCTCTCTCTCTCTCTCTATATATATATATATATATATATCATAAAATCAGATTATATTAACTGATGAAAATATTAGACTAAAAATACGGACTAACTTTGAGTGTTAATGGCCTTAATATAAAATAAAAGGAGACTGCAGTGAAAAAAGATCGTGATAACTTTAGAGCATGAAACAGATGAGAATCTTGTGATAAAGCTCAAAGAAGAAATCAGAAAGATATTTTGAATGTAAAAATCTCAAAAAAGTATAAGGACTGAATATCACCTTTTCAATGAGGAATTCATAGTCTTTGTGAGACCAGTAAGGGTAATGTTATTTTGATGAAAGGCAGTTTTCAGATTTCTGAGAACTTAGTTGTTGTTTTTAAATGCCATTGAGTCAGCTCCAACTCATAATGACCTTGTACAGAGTTTCCAAGAAGTACCTGTTGGCATTGAACCACCAACCTTGTGGTTCACAGTGCAGTGTTTGTCTTATAGAGCCTCACCAGGACTCCAAGAACTTCACTGAGACAGAAAAATAGAAACAGAAAAAAATGTAAAATAAAAATAAAAAAAAACTGTTTTCAATAAATTAATCTGTATTGAATCATGAAGGGGAGATCAGTTGTGTGGAAGTAACCTATAGAGGGATGGCTAAACAACAGGTATTCTTAAACCTTTCCTTAGATACCCCCAACAACTCTAAACATTTATTTGTATACTTTAGATTAAAGGAGTAAATATAGAGTTATATAAATTAGTAGAGTATTTCTAATGTTTCTGGTTCTCTTTGAGCAAAGATCCTGAATCTGGAACCTCACTGATCTGTCATGTCCCAAATAGCCAACATTACTCATGACCCCTTCTTCTTCATCCTCACGGGCATCCCTGGATTTGAGGTCATCCATATCTGGATCTCCATCCCCTTTGGCTGCTTCTACACCATCTCTATCATGGGCAATACCACCATCCTCACCGTCATCCACAAAGAGTCATCTCTCCATCAACCCATGTACCTGTTTCTCTCCATGCTGGCTGTCACTGACCTGGGTCTCACC